CTTAAAGCAGTGAAAATAAAATTACAGGGAGCCAAATGCTCTATAGTAAAATTTGACAGACAGGTACTAGCAAATAACTTGAATTTTTCTCCTCTTACCTATTAGAAGGTCACAGCCTTTGACATGCTGGCAAGAGTGGCCTCGATGTGCTCATCCTTTGAGAAGGTTGCACCAGTTCTTCACCTGTTTTCACTTTGGGTCTGATCCATGGCTTCATGAAGCTGATGAAAGTCTTTCCAGTGGGCTTTTAAAGTCTTCTGTGGGCTTTAAAATTAGGTGTCAGCTGAAGGTTTACACTTTGCAGGAGTTTAGCACATGCTTTCTTCTGGCAAAGTAAAAGCGATGCCCACAGAGGAAGGAAATTACTTTTAAAATTGCTTTAAAAATACTAAAGTGAGTTCGATTAAGTTTAAGAATAATGCATTGGCATGGTATCTTGCTAGAGTACTGTGCCTGGCTAGCACCAGCACTCAAGGGTGTGCCTTGCTGGACCTGCAGAAGGTTGCAGTGTGCTGATATTTTGAATGCTGTGGTTGAGAATGCTGTCCAGTCGAGACAGGGCAAAACCCAGGGTGAGGGGGCATCGGGGAGAAAGAACTTGAAGTGTTTGTGTTAGATGGAGCTGTTTGGCTTGGCCCTCAGAAGAGTGGAGCAAGAGTTAGGAACGCGTGCCTCCTAACCCAGGGTATCAAAACAATGTGATAGTCACTACTTTTATCACTTGTTTGTTAGAAGAGCCTGGAAGGTGGAGATGGCCCCTCCCACAGGTATCAGCTGCAGGCTTCAATCCCCTTTTCTAGGGGTGAAACTCAAATCTCCCACTTTCAGCCTAAATATTTGAAACTGGCTTTAGGCCAGTATTTAATACCCTGCTCCCTGGAAAAGAGCCAGCACCACACAGTTCTTCAGCAGATGTTGGTGCGCACCTGGCCTCCAGTGAAAATGCTGGGCTTTGAATTGCAAGTGCCTAGAACCACTCCCCCTCAGCAAGCCCAGCCCCAGCACTGGCAGCTTTCATAGCACACACCTGTACCAGGTATTGCCCAGCTGATAGAAAGGGCTTTTGCAGGCTGGGTCCTTCAAAGGACTGTCCTCCCTGTGCACGGAGTCCATGTACTTGCAGGGAGGACTACACTCAGCTGTTGAGAGTGGTGGGGCAAGGGGGGAAGGTTTGCAAAAAGTTGCCTCTGTTTTAGCTGCCTAATGTCATAGAATCATAGAATTGTTTTGTTTGGAAAACACCTTTAAGATCATCAAGTCCAATCATTAACTTAGCACTGCCAGGTTGCCACTAAATCATGTCCCCCAGTGCCACATCTACACATCTTTTAAATACTTGAGAAATGACAACTCAACCACTTCCCTGGGCATCCTGTTCCAATGCTTGACCACCTACTCAGTGAAGAAATTTTTCCTAATATCCAATCTAAACTCCTCCTGGTGCAACTTGAGGCCATTTCCTCTTACGTCTTTTTGACCTAGTCTGAAGTGTCTTGGACCTGGTCTTAAAGCCATTGATCAAGAGTCTTATCCCTCTCCTCTCTCCTTCACAGCAGTAAGCAGTCACTGTCCTCATGCCCAACATCTTCTGCTGGCTGAAGCTGGCTGTGCCCAATGGTGACCTGAAATTTCGCTCTGCTGCTCCATCCCTCTTTTCTAGCATAAAGCTTTCTGTGCATCATGTTGCTGCTATTAAATGCTCAGTACATTAGCTTGTTAGTAATATTTGACAATCTCAGTGCATAAAATCTCTTGTTGGGTCCATTTCACTTATAATTATGGGTGTGTATCTGTCTTCACAAACAAGCTCTGAGTCTCTGTATTTTTAGGCCCCTTGTTTGTTCTACCCCCACCCGCTGTTTGGATTGCTGTCTCCATCCCTCCCACTGCTCTCACCACTCCCCATGATACAAGCAATAACACTCAATAACACTAAACTTGGAGCTCTTTCTGTCTGCCATCAGAAGAGGATGAGTAACAGGGGTGGAGGAGGTGAGGAAGCCTCCCTTGCAGTGCATTGGCTTGCACAGCCTGTGCTGTGCCAAGGTGTAAAAAAACAAGTCAGCATTTCAGATTTGCGTTGCAAGTCCCCCTGGCAAGATGCTTCTGCAGACTTATGCAACTCAGTCCCAGGAAATAATTATTCCCAAGCCTCTACATGCACTGCACACTGGGACTCCCAGCAATGTGTGAGTAAATTAATGGCTCACTCTCCGTTTCTTGGCCGCAGTCTCGGTAACACTGGGGCCAAGACCATCTTTTTTACAGCATGTTCCTATCCAGTACCACCAGCTTTTTAGTTGTTTCTGCAGCTGTAGATAAACTATCTCTTTGTAAGCAGTGGCAGCTGAGCTCTTTCAGCCATAATTAGGGGTGAACTGGGTGTTGACACTCTTCTCAAAAATACCTTTCCCCTTGGCTTGTGGTTGTAAAGCAGGTTGTGCTCATAAAGCTGGTGGAGAGGGAGCAGGGAGTGAATGACTCGAGAACCGAAAGTTAGCTATCCGATTACTATTTAAAATAAATAAATTCCAGGGGTTTGTTGGCTGTGTGAAGCTAGGCATCAATCTATGGAGTCAACTTCTGAGTTTAAACATATTGCACTATGACCAGCAATTCTCCACAATACAGTAGGATTTATTAATAGAAAATATGTCAATATGAGTTTGTCTTTGTACATGTTAGCAACATGTACAGTGAAACACATTTCTTTTCTCAATCTATATTGTTATAGTTCTTTTGTGTTATCTGACATTACCATTTATATTTGGGCTTAAATATGTTATTTGTCAAAATGTATTTTCAGTGTTAATATAACTTTAAAATCATAGTTTACCTTTTAAATATTGAATTCATATTATTTTTTTCAAATCAATATTGCTCATGTTAGTGCAAATTTGTTAATCTTGAGATAGGTTAACCATTCCTTCCAGACCATAAACAGCATTTAATAAAACAGTGAGATTTATATAGCTCTACACAGCTGAACAAGATTCTAATACGAAGCTTGTTAAAAAAAAAAATCCGACATTTTACAGTACATCAATTGCATTTTATACATTTTTTTTTGGAACAGTTTTGTTTCTTCTCTATTTCTGTGTGTGATCTAGTACAAGAATGAAGGGAACAGCAATAGGTAATGATACTTTCCTCAATATTGAAAAAAATGCATCATATATATATCTTGCTCAGTATGGCAGCAGTGTTGGATTTCCAAGCCTGGAAAAGAAGCCGGGTAATTCAACACCTTCTCAAAACTCAGTACAGCAAGAATTAACGTTATCAGTCGGAGCACTTGCCACTACAGAGGAATGGAAACAAAACAACACAAACCATAGACAAAAGGTATTTTATGCCACTTCATCGATCCAGAATCTCCCACTTGAGCAATGGTCAACTTTTGACTCCAAGGAATTCCTAAGAGGAGCTGAAAGGGGGAAATGTGGGCATTTCAGTAGTTTGAAGAATGGAAATAAATCAAACTTACAGTAACCTTCTGTCCTAAGAACTTCAAAAAGAACGACGAATCCCTTCAGCCTGTTGGCAATCCTGCGGCTGGAGAACTGCACCAGCCTGGTGGTTATCAGGCAGTCAAGAAGAACTTCAAGTTGAGAGTGACATTCTTTATTAAAAAAAAGTTTTTATACTGAAAATGTGCTTTGTTCAAAAGAGCACTGCAAATGTCACTTATCTTATTAAAATCAATGTAATAAATAAAATATAAACAACCTGTGTCCAAAACTATGAATAATATTTTTATCTACCTCACTATACATCTGGCCCACTGTGTCCCTCCCTCCCGCCCTTTCTTAAATTTTTTAAAAATTTTTTTGCATGCGATTTTTTTCCCCCCTGTTTACTACAAAGAGCAGATAAGGTTACATATCGTACACTGGGAAAAGCTGCCAAAAAGATTAAACTATAGTCCTAGATTACCAATAAACCAATTCTACATCACAATACCTGCCTGCATGAACTACTCGGGCTGTGTCCTATAGAGCAGGCGATGACTTGGGAGGACTTCTCCCCCTGCACACAGCCAGAAGTGTGCCAGGTGATGTTAAGACTATTACAATGACTAATCACAGAAATGTTTGCAACCTAAAACAAATTCCTTAACTGTAATTTAAGCAACTTACAACTATGCCATTTGTGGTGGCTTTTATGCTGTGAAAACTATGCTGAACTGTTGCCAGAATCAAAGAAATGCAGAAATCCTAGATTATTTTTTTCACTTCTAGAATCCCAAGAGCCAAGATGAATATGCGAGCTCTTCTGGTCTCCGAGCTTAGTCTCCTTTTCTATTTTTTACTTAATTTTTTTTTTTAAATCTCTGTCCCTTACATTTTTATGTTTTTCAGGATTTTACTTTAAATGCACAGAAATGGTCAGTATCTTTTGTATTTGAGGAACGTGTGTCAGGTATCAGGTTTTCTTTTTGGTATGGGTTAAAATAAATGATTGTCCTAATGGTTCACAAGTTGGACTCTTCTACAGCCTGAAGAGTTTGGAGACTCCAGACTTAAGTCTGCTGGGTCTTTGTTTTCCATTCCCTCAGGGAGGTGGCAAGATCAAACTGCCTTCCTTGAGCACTTGCTGGTTTGTGGCTGGAGAGTAATGACATCTCCTCAAGAGAAGATCAAGAGATGCTATTTTAAAGGAAATGGCACCTAAGGGTGAAGGAGTCAGTGAAAAAAAATCCAATAACCCCTTCCTTTGTGAGTATGTGGCCTAACAATTTTGAATCGCTATCAATGGTTAAGAAAGTGAGTAAGAGAAAGCACATACTGGAGTTTCCACTGTTTAAAAAAACTGAAAATCAAACAAAAATTGAAGCTTGAACAAGGAAAACATTGGATGAAAAGAAATCTTACGCCACACAAACACACACACTCAAACACACACACACACGCACACAGAATACTATGCGTACGTGGACACACACAAGTAAGAATGTGTATTTGTATGGTAGGTTCTTGGAAATAGACATTCTTAGCAAATATGGATGACAGATCAATTGTAATTTATTTTCTTTGAACACTGTATCATCATAAAGAAAACTGGTATAAATGAAAAAAATCTATTTCAAATATCTACATCTAAAATTTTAGGCAGTGAAAAAGCACTTCGTTGACAAGGAGTGTGGAATGATGAATGTTAATTGTCAGAAACTGCTGAATGCCTTTTTTTTTAGTTGCCACAAACAAATCCACATATCAGAACGAACAATACTGCTAAATATTCCTTTTTGTTTTTTTGATTTTTTTTGACTTTTTTTTTTTTTGTTAAAACGCACCGGGGAAAAGAAAACAAAAAACTGGAAATTCATACATCTTTCAAAATTTGAAATTGAAGCAATATTTAGAACCATAGATGAAGAAACACTGTGGCATTGGTGTAATATACACAATGCACTTGATTTTTTTTTTTTATCTGTAATGTACATCAAATACTTTACAACAATGCATTAACAAAAGGCAAGAAACATCTTGCTGTACAGAGGAAACCCCAAATGCAACTTGAAGCCTAGATTCACAATGAATGAGGATATTAAACAAAGTGTGAGAAGCTGTTCCCCATAAAGTATGTACGCTGCTCAGTTACTTGTGCTTAACTCTTGACCCACATCCACTCTCATGTTCTCTCTCCTTCCTTCAGCCACATTCAATATACAGCACTGAACTTTAGACACTACAGGCCAACAGTAAAGTTGCCCCACACTGTAAAATATATATAAGTATACATATATTTCTTTCTAAGTACTCCCCGGTTTAGCTTTCATATCTTTTAGCCTTCTAAAAAAATCTCTTAGTTTTTCCATACTGGTTATCTGGGCCTTCCTATGGAACAGGCTTTAACAAACTAAATTTGCAGGAAAAAAAATGTCTTGTGGTATGCATGCACATGCACAGTTCCTGGAGCTTTTGTATCTGCCCAAGTCTCAAACCCAGGAGTCGGGAGAGGCTGGATAGTGGCTTGTTTCATAGTTAAGTTCACTATAGGGACGAGCAGCTGAATAGAAGTCGACGTAGTTGCCAGTTGACTTTAGTCCCAGGTGCATGTTGTATTCGCTTGCAGGTGGACGATGATGCACTTGGTCCTCAAAGAAGGACTCATCATAGTTTCTTGTTGAATTCTGAAACGGCTGATATGGTTCATAATCTTTTCTGCTGGGCTCCTGTGGAACTGGCTGTGTTGAAACCTGAAAGGTAGTAATATCCACAGCTCGTTAGATGCTACTTATTGTAGGCAACAGGATGGAAGGAGGAGTAAATCTCACTCTATGTTTACTGTGTTTCAAATACAACATCTTAACATCTGCTCAAGGTATTGCACGGTAGTGAATTAATTCTACAGCTTTGTTTTGTCATTACATTTCTTTACATTTATTTATTTAATATTACTGCTGCTAAAGATGCTGGTTTACTGTAAGCGTAGCTCACAGTTACTTTCATACCTATAATCTGTGTATTGCTTTCTGACTATTTTGCAGCTATATAATGCAAACACTGGTGGCCAAAACTCAGCCTTGACAAATTTGAATGGAAGTGACATACACTCCAAACATGCTAAACGTTAACATTTTGCCTTTGCCAACAGTGAGATTTAGTGTGACACTGTATCCCTAAGAACCATTTATAGTCTTCAGGGCACTGACATGGGAAAATTTCAAGCTAAGTGCCCTGAAATGTGTTCTTCTGCTACTGTTAAGCTGCACCATCATCTTACCACCTCCTCAATACTTCATGCTGGCAATCTTTTGTTTTTGCTACATTCCAGCAAGTTGCCTTGAAGCTGAAATATTTATGATATGCAGAAAAAAAAATCTCAGGTGGCCCCCTAGCCCAAGTTTGCCATAAAGTTTTTTTCAGACAGCCCTAGTGAGTCTCTGTTTTTATAGCTGGAACACTACCTTTCACTCCGTGCTACCTCTATTAAGTTTGGGCAGACTTTGTGACTGCAAAATGATAGAGCCTTTCAGTCCTCAACTGGTTGTTATTGGGAATATCTATGCTTAGCTGTTGGTGTCAGAAGACACTGCAGATCCTGCTGACTCTGCAAGAGTCAGTCATGCTCCTTCAAGAAGAGAGGAACAGTTGCACTGCTATGTTCCAAGCTCTGTGATACTTTTTCAAAGCATCTCTGTATCGGACACAATGTGTAGAGAGCAAAAGTCTATGTCTTTAACAATCCTACAAATGATCTTACAACGCTGGGCCCAATATTAGAACAGCAAAAGGGAACGTAAACACTCTAGTTTCTATTTCTAGTACAACTATCGAGGTGTACGGGACCTTGAGCCCCTCATTTCATTTCACATATTCAAACACAGGTGTTTACTTTCGGCCACAGAAGAAAAATCCTAAAGCAAGCAACCTATCTATATGCCAAAAAGTTAGAGACGGTCAACTTTCAAGTAGAAAACAGGGGACTGAAGTAGTATTTCTGTTTCTTTTATGCTAAAAACATTACTTCCGATATGTCAATCATAAACCTGACATTTCATTGAGAAAGCAAGTACAAAAAGGTGGAAAAATTATTTTGGTTTTTTGTAGTTTGTTTGTTTTCTTTGTTTTTGCTCAAACTCTCACCCCAAAAATCAAATTAGTTGTTCATGGCTGCAGTTAGAAGTGCAACTGCTGTTACAGTACCTCATACTCTTTTCTCTAAATACTGTTAATTAGAAGGGCTTCATCTCTTTAAATGACATAAAAACAGATACAACTTCATGCCGTGAACTGGCTCACACAAAGAAGGAATATGGTGCACCACAGGAAATAGTGGCTAATTAAAAAGCAAAACCAAAAATCAGAAATGGGGGCACAGAGTATCAGAAACTTTCTTCCCCTTAATTTGTGGATTAAAATTGAAATACCAGTATCTTAAATTGAAATTTCAGATAATCTAGTGAGATTTTCAGAGAAAAGTATTTTTTATCAATTTTACTACATGTTCATTTACCTATCTGATACTACTTCATCATTTTAAGTGCTTTCCTTAAATGGTGTTTCATCTCATTTCTCTAGTTAAAAAATGCTGTAACTTTTCCATATTACACAGAGAAGTTGTGAAAATATTAAGGAGTGATAAAGTAGCATTACACATAATGATTAAAATAAGCCTACGGGTGCAGAAAAATGTCTGTTTCCCAGGGACTGAGGAAATACTATGGTGGAAATACCAGCTGTATGAATGCCATATATGTTGATATTGCATGGTTGGATGTGTATACACATGAGAAAGTGTCCTTGCCAATGAAATGTTACATTTTCTCTTGCCCATGCGCCGATGGGTATATTACAAAACAAACTAAGCAAAAAGCCTTGATACAATCATGATTCTGGAGTGACTAAATGGAAAAACGGAGGGCTTTTACGACATGTTGAGTGTATTGTACACATCCCTGCAAAAGATACAGAGGATTCCATTTCCAAGCCTGCTCAATACTTGAGTTTCTGCTGGGATGCCTTAGAACGTGAACAGTGCAGTGTTGGCAGTGATGGTTATACTCAAGTAAGAAGATGTGACTGGGCCTCACCAAACTCATTGCCACGGGACACTGCGAGGGTCAGATACCAGGGACAGTAGAAGTGCCCATTAACATTAGCTTGGCTTTTGTAGTCTGTGTCATATATATCCAAAACATTAAAGGCATTCAGGTCTCAAGTCCCTCTTGATTTCAGTAAGAGTTATAGGCTTAAACACCTTAGATAATTTTTCTACATATGCTGTCATAACCTCTTGGATATTTCTGAAACTTGGGCTGAAATTATCCATTAACATGAAGAACGTATTTTGTTTGGAGCCAGTGGAATTGCTACCATTTGTGCAAGCAGATGACTCAGTTCCTCTAATCTAGATTTATCAACCTTTGTGATTTTCTTAGTTTCCCTACAGATCTTACACTGGCCTTTTGCCATCTGGAACAGTAACATTTTAGACTCCATACTTACCTGATTGTGTTTGATATCTTCAGCAGGTGCACCATACGAATTCCTGTACAAAGTTGAGATTCCAGTGTTCTGAGCTGGAGAGAGAAAAAAGGAAGGAAAAAGCAGGTTTACCAAACATACCTCTTTGGCCTCAAACTGAACTATGAAGGCTTCATTAAATACATTATACAGCGCCCATTTCCCATACACAAAAATCTTTAAAAGCACCTGCAGACTTATGTTTTCTCTTCCTCCTACTAAAGAGTCGTAATCTTTGCTTTGCTGTGCATGCAGGTACATGGTATACACTTACTAATGGTACCAGGCGCCATGTCATGTACACACCAGTCTTGTGCACTCCATATATAAGTCAGCAAAATAATTACATATACAGATAGCATTCGGTAATGTATTCCAGGTTATATATGGGATTTCGTATCACACATAAATTAAACAGGTAACAGTTGCAAATACTGAGATTAAGAAACATTTCACTCCTTTCACTTCAGATGGATGATATTACACCAAACCCTGGGTTATTTATCCTACAGTGCTTTTGCTGTATGGTGAAATTATTCATGACTAAAGTGATTAAATGCAACGGAAAAATGAGTTATGCAAAAAAGTAATGTGTAGTTACACTGAAGAGGTCTCACCAAGATATTCTCAAATTCATGAACTGCTGTCACTTTCTTCTCAGATGTCCCACTACTAAAATGCACGGACAAAATTGAGCTGAGTATGAAATCAGAAGTAATTCTAAAGACAAGGATAACATCCTACAGTTTTGCAAAAAGTTACTTCCCACCCTACCCCCAAAACCACATAAAAAAGCTAGGGATTTTCCCTGCAAGGCTGACATCACTGATCACTTTGATTTGGTTATCCAGCTGAAGCTTATTTTGCTGATAGAACTAGAATGATTGTAGTCATTTCTCATATTTGAAAGAATATGAGGGTAGCATTTTGTGTGACTGCTGCACTCTCTTCTTACTGGGCTGTACAGCTTTCCAGATGTTATAACCAATGGTTTCAAGCTGTCATGAGGACTCTCATTATAAAAGCATGTGCCTGAAGTAAAAATTGAGTAGCTGTGAGTCAGTCATCAGTGGAATTGAAACCTGTTGCTCATGCAACTTCTCTCAGGTCTCTGTGCAATGGTATAAAAACCGGAGGCACCAAGAGTTGCTTTTAATACCACCACAACTCAAAACCTTTAAGGGTGAGGACTGAGCATCAGAGCTGAAAGCTGGGTCTGGGATCCATGCTAGCCACATCGCTATGAAGAACCACAGTTACTGAAGAAGTAACCACTCTTTCTTCCTTTGGCAACCTGCTAGCATGGACCCCAGCATGTGCAGCTGCCTCTATCTTTCCCCCAGCCACTGCACTCTCTACGGAGAAAGAAATGGTATGGTCTTTAGTCAAAGCTGACTGTAATACGCCAGTTCTGATCTTCAAATCTGCCACGGGTTCCATGCAGAGGGTAGGATTTTTGCCAAGTTTGGTGTACTGCTCCACATTGCTGCTTTACAGATCTCAGATGGTGTTATTAAAGATCTCCAGCATGTTTTTGAAACAGTATAAAAACAGGGTTTATATGGTGGTGTGATGAATCCTAACAGCTGGAAAAAGGTTTTTGTTCACTTGACAACCATTAACTAATAGGGGTGAAAAAACTCTTGTTTCTTGAAGAGCTGGATGTGTTACTGAGACAGTGCATAGTCCTGTTTAGGAAATGGTGAAGAACTCTGGATGTCTCCAAGGAGCGCAGCAGGATCCTTTCTTTGAAGGTGGGAAGAATACAAGAATACAACCTCTAGTAACAGATGATGGTTGGTCTTTTCCAGTGGCAGGTACTCTTAATTCTGCTTGTGTGCTAGTTGGTGGTAACAGATGGAAATGATGACTGCTTGAGTAGTTTGTCTTTGGTCATAGATGTTAGAGCTGACGGGCTGATCTGCAGAGGTTCTCTCTACTCAGGCTGCATTTTGTCACCAAACTTGAGTGATGCACGAGACTTGACTGTTATTTCAGTGGTTTTTATATTCCAGCTGCATCCTCTGCTTCGGTGTTTGACACTCTCCCTCCTGATGACAGTCTTTGGTATTAGAGGAGTCCGCATCAGCATTGCTATTTATGGTGCATCTCATGACGGCATCGAGCTCATTAGTGCAACAACCAGATCTTTCCTCAGTAGCATCTTTTTTATGCTGCTTTTCTGAGTTTTTTGTTTACCTCAAAAAGTGCTAGAAGAAGCTGAGTTATATACATTTCTCTTCTCAAGACCTAGAGATACTCAGACCTAGTGTTTCAGCTACCCATTTTGTGAAGTGCTACTTACTGAAAAAAATGAAAGTGATATTCAATGTGTTGCACTCCCCTAAGTAGGGAAAGAACTCCTTGTAAACTTTTTTTTTGTTTGTTTTCATGTATATAAATTGCAAAATAAGCAGGGTTGAAGTTTCATATGTGCAAGTTTTCAGTCAGGCATGACTGAACATATTCAGCCCAATAGGACAACGCTGTTCATGGTTGACTGACGTCAAGTATAAAAGACTGGTGTACAGTGCAACATCTGAGGGTTTTATGGAGAACCTGATGAAAAATAGCAAACTGGACACATGCTAATTTATATGTTGTTCCTGCAGTCAATCAGAGAGACTTTAAGTAGGTAGGTCATGACCTATTCATCTTTTTGCAGGTATATACAAAGGCACATGGTAGACATGTGCCACTAATAGGCATGACTATTAAAAACCAAAAACAGTCCAGAGTTGGTGCACAGCTGTCCAATGCACTACTGGGACATTTGCACTGATGTGCTCAGAATTGTCACGTGCCAGATTGAAGACTTATAGTCTCCCAGATCACATATTCTGCGATGGAAAATGGATAGTATCAGTTTATGAAAATAGCTGCAAGGTCTGCGTTGCAGTGACGTGGACACAAATTCACAAGTTTAAAATGCAAAAAAAAAAAAAATAATAATGTAGCATTCCTTTCTTAATGTAATAAAAACAATGACACATCCAATGCTTGGAAATGGATGCCAAGAGTTCAAGAAGAAGAAATCTTGGCTTAGTCTAGCTGGGAGGCTGAGATAATTCTGTCTCTGGAGGAAATGTAAGTCAAGCAATGTAGCTGCTAGCAGTGCATGCAGCCCCGCTCCAGTACCTGCTTCTGAACACGCAGGCGGCATCCCTGGGAACTCCATTCCCGCTCTGCCGTGCTTCAGTGAGCAGTTGACTCTTGCTGTCCAAAAAGCAGAGAGCAAATATAAAAGAAAGAAGGGAGAGAATGAGCTAGATGAATGGACAGATATTGTGTGGTTAGTATCTGATTTTTGCTGTTAATGCTGTATACGTATCATCACAGTAAAATTATCAGAAAGAAAGAAAGGTTACTGAAATCATTTCTCTTCTTTAAAACATGGCAAGAGAAGGAAAGGGTACAAGGAGTAAGAGATGGAGATTTTCCAGCAGCCACACTTCTTTACAGGGATGTGAGAATTGTAGCTGCAGATGAAATGATTCAAGGAGCGATCAGTGTGTGTGTAAGTGTGTATTTTATGCAGTATCTAAACATTAGTACATGATAGTACTGCACAGGTACTTCTTACTTGGCAAAATTGTGAAGGTTCTAAGATGAGGACTATGATCAACCTGTAGTACTTTGTGGCTGCACTGCATAAAAACATATATACCTTTCTTTTTCCCCCCATTCAGTTTTCAAGGTGATATTCGTTTAAAAAAATAATCATACAGTTCTCCACAGCAGTTTTCTGCAAAGCTGACAACAGCTTTGAAAATTATGTCACTCAGTGGTTTATGTGACAAAGGTATTACTGACCGAAGCCCTCCCTGTATATCCCAGTCACTTGATTTATGGTTTAACATTCAGCTTTCAGTTCCTGTAAGTACTTATTTTGAGCACATTTACGGACACTTTGAAATAACAAGGCGCTGGCCTTTTGCCCTCACAAACATAGACTGATAGTAAGAAAGGAAAGCTCAGCTGCGCAGCTAGTCATCCTCATCTGGTACTGCGTAACCTGCTTTTTCTGCTATAAGCAGCAGGACTTCATTTTCTAAAATTTAGTTCCAGACAGTGAAGGAAAATGCTTCTGTGTCTCACAAATCTCAGCTAACAGAGATCATTACCTGTCACTACCACTGCCACCTTCCTGCATGGTGAAAGATGAGGTAAGGGCATGAGAACAGACTACAGTGCCTTATGGTTTCTTAAAGTAATTATAAGTTCAAGTAGTCCGAGCCTCTGGAGCTATTGTAACAGATGATGGTGACTCTTTGTGTTCTGAATGTGCTGGGACTTGCAAGTAAGTTTAAAAAACAAAAGTATAGATGATTGACTCTTGATAATGAAAAGAAATAAATCAGAAGGTGTTTCTGCTGGTGGAAGTGAGGATACAGGGTGCAGACTGTGACGCACATATTCGTTCAGTGGGGGAACTAACAAAGTAAAAGAAATTTTGGAGTAGGAGTCCCATGATAGTATACAGTAACCTTATCTTCCCTGTTCTGAAAGAAAACACCATGGCATAAATAACGTTATCACAGGCACTTATAGTTCCTGTTTTTTTTTAACAGGAATATAATGGGTTTTGTCTTAAAAATATACTTTAGGTGATAAAATTTTATTATTGGTTATTATTTTCTACAGAGAAGAAAAGATGGACAGTAAATATACAAGGCATCATAAACCTGTGAAAGGAAGAAGGCAATGAGAACTTTGATATTGTTCCTCTATTTTTTAGCTGTCCTTGTGAAATCAATATAAGTTATCATCTTCAGTCAAACTGTTTACTTCATAGACTCTCCTTTTTTCCCAGAGGTTTCCTGAAAACTCCCCACAATAGCAGAAAGCCAACATTTCTACTTCGAAAATCCATCAAAAAACTTTCATTTCAGTCCCAGCCAAGAGGTCATAAAATTTTTGAACTATAAACTGAGAAGAGCTTTGGAGAAGAGCATGGAGACAGTTGTGGACAAAGTGGCCCTACATTCTGCGTAAATCCATAAGTCAAAGAAAGCTTTGTGTAATACATCAGTTTGGCACAAAATACAAGAGCAGCTCAAAATACGTATATGCCAGGTGGAACCCGAAAAAACATTTATCTAAGTCCCACAGGCTCTGTGGATGTATAGCTGCAATGCACTGTCTGATGCACAAAATGAAATACAGGCATTGCAATGAACTTGCTACACAAACTCGTATTAGACCATCCAAGTAAAGTCAAAACGTCTCACAGTTAAAATAAAGAACACTGATTTTATATTGTTCTGTAATGAAATATTTATTCTGTGAGCTACAAATATGTTACAAAAAATTGATGTTGAGTGTTGACGAGTAAGACTCCTTCTAATCGTCATTTTCTTTTGTTCTTAAAATGGTGCTTAATTTAAGCTCAGACCAAATGAGTAGATATTTGGTGACCTGAAAGAGAGAGAAAGTGATTTGTTAATTTCACATTCATTTGTACAATGGTCATGTAAGATTGTGAAATATTATTAAACTTTTCAATTCGATATTGGTTTTGATTTTTCTCACTGAGCTCAGTAGCTGGAAAAACAGTCGATAGCTGAGCACGATGCTGAGTTTCGAGCTTCCTTACTAAAAGCCCACCCAAAAGATCAATAAGAACAGACAAATTACAAGCAGATATTAAAGGAAAACATGATGCAAAAATCAAAGTGGAGCAAAGGTTGCTGGGGAAGTAAAAACCTCACTATCTGAAAATTATATTGAAAGAGAAAGGAAACAAGGGAAACAGGAGTGGGAGAAGAAAAACACTACAGTAAAAAGACAAAATGAAAAAGGAAGGGGAAAAAGAAAGCTTCAATTGTTTTAAAGTGTGGAGATGGACAAGACTATTTGCAAGGACACACTTATTTTCCGCATAGAAACTCTTCTTTTTTGGTGAACCTTCTGATACAATTGGTTGCCTAAACTTGCAGATACAGCTAATGTTTCTGCCGTTTCAACCTGCTGCTCTTACTCCTGAGATTCCTTCTTCATGGATCCTTGTACAAAGTGGTGAAAAAATATGCAGTCCTGTCCTCCACAATCACACAAGTAAGGACCACTGAAGTGTTTCAGAGAACCACCTTGTGCAGTGACTACGAAACCCTCAAAATATTAGAGACATAAAATGCAGTACCTTACTGAATCTGCTGCAAACTCATGAGGTGCGCTGCAGATGTTGTTCAGGACACTCCTCATTTCTGTGGTTTCCAAATGCTCTTGACTGTCATTCCTCTTCTTCAGATTTTCACTTTCATGCTAATTAATGTTCCGTATTGAATTTTCACACAAATTCAAAGGCTGGCCGTTAGGTTTTGGTTACACAATAGCATATAATACAGTAGATGTAGTGTGAATATCACCATATCCTAAATTTGGTCTTGAAAGCTAGTACGAATGGCTTGACGCTGAGTCATCATTCTACTGGTGTCCCCAGAGAGCTGAGGAACACAAGGATAGCCCATCCTGGCATCCCCTGAGTAAGACCTCTGCAGAGGGCATGGGAAGAGCTAAGAGGCATTCAGAAAGTGCAGAGTGACTCCTCACCGTGATTTTTTGCTTGCCCTGCAGTAGCATTTGGAGGAGAGGACACCCTGATGCTCAGCACTGTATAAATGAACGAAAATGTCCAACAGGGGTTATATAAGCCTGTGCAATGGTGATAGAGACCAATACATGTTTTAGAAGAGAATTAACAAAGAGGTGAAGTACTAGGCAAATCACTCAAAATTCTATAATTACTGAAGTGCTAACAGGTTAATGAGCTCACTAAGGTGGAAACCTTTTTCATTCAGTGAAACCTGCAATAGATGCCATAACATACACAGAGAAAATTGTTCTATTTGCATCAGCCCAGCCAAGAAAGTAACAGGGACAGACTTTACAAACTGCTACTGAATTTCCTAGGAATGACTGACATGCAAAATAAGCTAACCGGTCCTGGAAAGCCATTCCCTGCAAAAGAGAGATGTTAGGGATAACGGCACATGTTCAACCATTGTCATGCTTCAGAAACACCATTAGTTAATACAAGGTGGACTTACTCGCTTCTGAAATGAAAAGAAACTTAAAACTGAAAAGAAATGTAAAATTGCACTTTATGAAGAAACATTGTCTTCACAAATCATTTTCACACAGCATTGTATTCATTAAGATCAAATATTTCTTCAGTTGTATTTCTCAAGGTGGCTAAAACTTTGGAATCAACCGACACAGGTTAACTCTTTTCTCTAGTACACTAAACTCAGCCAAGCTTATAAAATCAGTGGTCTATCACAGCTGATTTTAAATTTGCCGTGCGAGCATAATCTCACCTGTCATGGTGTCTTTCCTAGAAGTGTGTTCTCCCTTATTTCCGTGGTATGTGGCGTTTGTTCCAGTTGATTCATAGTCTGTTTTTCTTTCTTTTAGGCTGATCATTTCCCGGGGTGAGGCTGGGGCACTTGCTAGATCATAAAAATAGATTTATTTTTTCTCGCCACATATGACTGAATGTACTGTTTAGAGTAAACACTTTAGTAAAGTTTATATTTGCTACCATACTAACATTAAGCTGCTTAAAGAAACACTACCCCATTATGGGGTAAGAAAAGAAAAAGTGCTCTTATTTCAAATACAGGACAAAAGCATTTATAGGACAATCAACTCCAAACATCATTTTTGCTCCAAATGTTTTACTTTTTCATTTACACTGAACATCTAAGAGGGCCGTTAAGAGAAAAGTATAACAATAATGATTTTTTTCCTCCCTTTTTAGCTTTTTGATTTCTTTATCTTGACAAATCTTTCTGGTATAGACACTTGCATTTTTTTCTTAAAATGGTTAATTTATTTCTGTTGAAAAGACTTACATGATTCTAATGGGGACAGAAAGAAAAGAAAGGTATTTTTCATAGAAAACTTATAGCAAAGAATGCCTAACACCTAAAGGTAACTCGAATAATTTCTCTGTCTTTAAATATCTATGTATGAACAACTGCCATTAAAACAACTGCTCTTTAAGTTATCATTAAAACTCAGTCCTTCAACATTGATACAAGCAGTATGGCCAAAAGGGAGGAAAGTATGAGGTGACAGGGAGAAGAACTAGATTTGTATTTGATCTGGGAGAATGTGAAGGTGATCACTGGCACTGATCATGAAGACAGAGTTTGCAATGCTTAGGAAAAGGAGAAAAGCAGAGGAAAAAGTAATGACTTTCAAATTAACGGACTTCAATATATTTGGGTATTGGTAGATACAACACATTTTCCCTGTTATGGAAGGCAGGGTAAGGAGTACAAGGTGAGTGGCAGAGCATCCCAGAGCCTCATGAAGGCACAGTGGTACAAAAATAACTACAGTGCTGGTGCTTACACTCCCTCCCCTGCCTCCACTCAGATAGTGGGTATGTCAAAAGAACCTAAAAAATGTCCTTGCTTAAAAAAAAAAAGGAAAAAAAAACCTTTTAAAAATGTAAGACAAGCTCATTTGCGAAGCTTGATCATGAGTGATGTCTTTCAGCATCTCTAAACAATGTTTCACTTTTGAGTGTTTTAGTTAAGGAGCAGGGAAGCATGAGTGATGTTGAATTCTGCTTAGATTCATTCTGCTGGCCCTGGCCTCTGAATTTACAGAGCATATGCAGGACAGATGTTTTTTTCTGATGAAACCATTAGAATTGGGGATTATTTTAAATTGCTTGTCAACAGTGATGTAATTCTAAAGCTGATCATCCAGAACATATAAAGAAACATGATATTAAATTACCAAATCAGCTAATGGCAACTTGAATCTAATAGGGAACAAAAGAGAATGCAAACCTTGAAAAAGTTGCTAACACAAGGATGCATTTTGTTTCCTGTACGCTGGCAATGCTTTTAAGCACTCTGGTGTTCTGAACAAAATTGACTGATAAAGACAAAACCATCTCTCTCTGCTCCCTATGGGAATTATCTCTCTCCTCCCATGTGAGAACAACTGCCTTCTGGCAAGTGTTAAAATCCAGAAGTGCCCTCTTTTAGAGCTTTTACTGGAAGCAGACATAAAATTATTGGTTGACATTAGACTGAAAAGTGGTACCGAGGCTTTCTGCTCTTATTCTTAAAGAGCACAGAAAAGAAGAGAGAGCTCTCTGTGCTAGTTAAAGAATCTTACCACCAAGTCCTAGGGATGGATGGGACACCGTGTGTTCATTTACTTTAACTCTTTACCCCAAGGTAGGATCCAGCATACCAAAATAATTCTTGACAGTTTTTCATCTAAAACTAAAGATCTCTAATGACAGAGACCACATAACTGCTCCAAGCAGTCTGTTCCAGTGCTTTGTTTCCCTGCTGTTTCCTGATGTCTAGCTTGACTCCTTGCTGCTCATTATTTGTAACTCTCTGCTATGAAAGTAAAGAAAGTTCATGCCGTGCCTCTTCACAGCTGGCTGTTATGTGCTTGAATACTTGATGTGTACCTCTGCCCACTGCCCCCATCCTGTGTCTCTCTTATTTGAGTTAAACAATTACAGTCCATTCAGTGTGTCCTCATATCCTGATTTCTCCATCTCCTGATTCATCTTGGCAACTGACAAAAATCTCTAAATCATTTCTAAAGGATTTTTCTCTAGCCAGATATTCTCTTTATAATTTATTTGTGAAGGACTGGATTTTCTTCCCCTTTGGACAGTATCTCAAATTTCTCAGGATTACTCTGAATTCCAGTAATGCCCTTCAAGGTACATGAGTTTCTCCCAGGTTTATGTCACCTGCAAAGATAATAGGCATTATCTGTGTATTATCTGGGCCATTCATAAAACCACTGAAGAGTACTGGGCCCAAGGCAAACTCCAAGCAAAGCATTCTTCCATTTCGGCAATGAGCAATATCCATTCTTTGTGAATTGTTTTCAGTTAGTTTTGTATTCACCACACATGACATTTTCTAGACTGTTCGTTAGCTTGCTCTACCTTGCCTATAAAAATCTTGTTGAAAGAGTATTACTGATTACAGTAGATTTCATTTATTGACTATTCTTTCCATGAAGCATTTTAGCATGTTGTAGCAGGAATTCAGGTGGATTTTATAAGAGCAAATTGTATCGAACCAATGTTTAGATTTGATATGGATACTACCATACAGACAGTAACTTAAACTACTATGTAGAAACAGACACTCCTGGAGTTAAGCAGTATCTTATGTTCCTACTCTCTTTGAGGTGCTCAGATTGTAATTATTTGTTCCAGAAATTTTCTAGGATGAAGTTAAGCTGATTGGTCTGTAATTACATGGACTCCTTTACCTTCAGAAACAGCCACTGTATTTGTCCTTTTCCAGTCTTAATGATAACTGATGATGGCAGTAAGATTTAATTCAATATTTCTTTAAGTGTGTTCTTTAAGCAATAGAGTAACAGAATTGAGGAGACAGTTCTGGCAAGAGACAGAACTAAGATCTCAGGGCCAGACATTTCAAGTGCCTTGCACTTACAGTCAAAATGAGATTTAGGAGAAGAAAAAAGGGAACAAGAGCCCTTTATGGACTTGTGTAATGACATATTTTGAAAACTGAATAGCAGCTCTCACTGTACTTCTGGCTACATTTTCAAATTTCCTCAGTGGTTGTTCTGCAGGACTAATAGGCAGCTTCTAGATAAATAACAAAACAATTTTCTTAAAAACAAAACAATGGCACAATGCTGAGTGTAATAATTAGTTTGGCCAATTTTAATCCTAAACTCTTGCTATGCCTACCAATGACAGCATCTAACTGAACAAGTAGTAAAAAACACATTGAAAGCCTGACTGTTTTATGCTGTTCGTCTTAGAAGATTTCCACTGGGAATGGTTTTATCTAACCAAAGCATGTTCTACCTTAGGATAAGCAGAGGAAAATGCCCAGATTTCTGAACAGAAAAATTGATTAACGTTGTGGCATGAGTTGAGATACTTACGTTTACTCATTGTATGGATCATGCAGAATTAATGACAACTGGTGTAAATATGCCATCAACATTACATGAAGAAAAGAAAACATCCCTGTTTTGGACAGACAATTTAGGTAAGAGTAAAGAATATATTTTGTGCCCTTCCACCGTCGTTAGCAATAAATCCAGATGCCAGTGACGTTGCTTAAAGAGGGAAAATGACAGTGATGGATTGTGTCTGCCTTTACTTTAGTCCTGAAAGCCTGGTCTTACCTGAGCGGTTGTTAGGAGACATGCGCACTGGAGAGATGGAGGGCGTGCGTGATGAAGAGTACGGTCTTTGCCGATCCCTTTCTATTGTTGAAGATGAGGCTACAAAGTGATACTGTGACCATCCGTCCTGCAACATCAAACATTGCGACAGCAGTCAGTGAAAACGCCAGACAGTTCCCCATTTTCAGTACAGGGTATTTTCCTCTGGTGTTTTCACGACATATACACAAATGAGCTACTATTTTTTTCCTGCCACTGGGTGGCAAATACTGACAGGCCAGGGGAAAAATTAAAATGCAGAAAGTTCTGTAAAATAACACATTTCAGGAAGGCCCAAATTCTGAAGAAGCTGAGCAACTTTTTAGGCTATTTGTTTAATAGTTCTGTCTTTTCACATTGCAAATGGCATTCTGGTTATGCAAATATTCCAAATCACAAGACTGCTTGTCTTTACAGTGAAATTCAGCTTTTGTTTTACATAATTTCTACCTCATAAGGAGATTTTGGAATAAGTAGATGGGGAAGCTCCAGGATTAACAAAATTATTGTAACTATTTGGGTATCTATAGTCTAGTTATACTAACTACCCATTTGTTCATGTGTGAGGGAAAAAGAATCAATGCAGTTTCCTCATATTTTTCCCCAAGATGTACAGAAAGAAATTCTAGTCCTCGTATTTAAAACTGTGGTAATGGTGATGTATTTTTTTTTTTAAAAGAAACAAAGTAATACAAACACCAGAAACAGCTATTTCAGAAATAAAAAGGAGAGTTTTAATAATTCATGTTTTGTTTCTGCACCATAATATAACCCAATAATCCAAAATAATGTACTTTAGATTTTTGAAAGGATATTAAAATAATTTGAAGTATCATGAGAGAATAAATTTACTTTTGCTAGTGCTCTTCTTAAAGGACAGTATTTCAAAAATCTTAAAGTACTGATAGATTTTCACTGTCTTTAAGAGTATCACAGTTTTCCCAGTGTCACATTGAAGGCATAAGCCTTTAAAAATGCCTACTTTCTGCTGGGCTCAGTGGAAATTGAGGCAACCACCTCATGGCGCTAAAGAATTTTTTTGCAATGCAATGCCGAATAAAACCAAACAGAATATAATATTACCAAAAAACAGCTGGAATTTTTTTCTTGCTTGCAGAAAAAGAATTCTCTGTTGGAACAGCAAAGAATATTCCCACCCCCTACCTCAGGCTACTCCAGGCATCTAACCCTGAATCCCACCCCCTCCCATCCTCTGCCTTTGCCCAAGGCACCTCTCTGACTTTCTTCCCTACACAGAGACCATGGGCACCTGGCTCTCGGAATTGCAGGAGAAAATGGCCTGAAAATCCCCCTTCCACTAAACTTTTAAGAAAGAGAACTCAGCAAGAGCAAGACACTTTTAAAAACAGCAGGAGGGAAGATACTTATACTTGATGTAGAAGGAAATGTTATAAGTAAATTAGGATAGACAGATGTGACACCTAACTACAGATTCTGAATGTCTGTACTTCTTACATAATGTGTTTGTATAAACACGCATGTGTCTCAGTTGTAATGCCAAAGGGAAACATAAGAAAGAGTGAAGACTGGGCCATGGCTTTCATAGTAGAGTCATGACTTTCCTTACAGATGACAGGGACCATTTGTCCACAGAGGTCACTCGTGTTTAGGACACTTAACTGAACTGCACCTCGTATTTCATGACAGTCATATAAGAAAATATAAGGGAGAAAAAAACAGTAAATAAATAAAAAATGGTAAGAGTAACTTGGAAAAAATAAATAGTTAGTCTTTAATACCATTTGCTTAAACCAAAATTTTCTGTATCCAGTCTTTTATTTCCACCAAGCTTCTACACGAGTCCTCCAACTTAGAAGGAGGATCAATGAGAATGTAAACACAACCATTTGTGAAGCCCTAACTTCTTAACGTTAAATCAAATTGGAAGTTATTAGAAGCTTTTCAATATATACATATATAATATGTATATATAATAAAGATATATATTTAAAAATAACTAATAGCTTACAGTTACAATGAATAGCCTAAGTCCAATAATCTTATCCAAACATCAAGACTCTAAATAACACACAAAACATTATTTTTAAATCTTCTGTTAACTCACACAGTGATTCTTCTACTATAAAAATGAAGCAGCAAACGTGAGAAGCCCATGGCTTTATCCTGCTGAAGAAAAATGGTTCCCTTCTTCCTCCTTCTCTGGGGTCAGAAGTTCTTACCAGAAAAGTGACTCTATAATTCACTCTGTTATAGTTTTCTGATAATTTATTTTCTTTTAAACAGATTGCTGAAGAGGAAGATACCAAGAGGACAGAGCCTAGATCTGATAAAAAGGAGAACAAATAGACTATTTATTACTGTCTGTCTGCAAAATGAGGGGACAACAGCCATGCTTACATACTGCAAGTCAGAAATGCTTCCAGTTTTTTTGATCTGGATGCTTGGCCAAGTACACTCTCCTTTTGCACGCTTGCTTCCCTCAAATAAATCCCTGACACCTGGGTCAGAAAGAAGTGACTTGAATCTTCCACTAAAACTTTCTTCCTGTGGTCTATTCCATCCGTATCATTTGCATTAATACCTGGACCCTTGCTTTGAACAGAACTGGATGAAATAAATCCCCGTGTCTGCACAGTCCCATGGACTCTACAGGAACAGGGAGTGGCAAGAACATTGTTCTGCAGAATATCAACAGGTACTTTGTGAACATTGTTTCCTGAGAGACAGCATTGCAAGGTGCCGCAACAGTGAGGGACCAGAATCCAGCTGTAGCTGCGGTGCTGACAGTAGCATCCTTCTGTGTGGCAGATGTTTTTCCTTCTTCTCCTACCGGCAAATTTTCATTTTTCTCCCTGCTGAGAGCAGCGCCTATAAAGAGGTTGTCAAATAAAATCTGCTACAAACTTTCAAGCTCGCAAGCTCCATCAGCTCTGTAAAGCAACTCAGGCAAACAATAAACTCTAACACAAGTATTGTGGTGACTGGGCATTGCTTTTGACTAAACAAGGCATATTGCTGTCACTGCCTGACAGCCTTCATGGTGCTTTTCAACAGCATTATAGGTAGCTCCCAGACCTCAATGTATTTCAAAACCCTAATACTTTTAAGTCGTCTGTCTTTAGCTCTCCTCTGCCACAAGGAACAAGCTTCTTTCCTTGGAAAGGTAAACAGTTTGTAACAAATTCATTAAAACCATCCCATCAACAATTCCAAAAGCTATTAGCGTTAAATATTGAAACTAATTTTTAAGAGCCTAAAGGGAGCATTTTCAATTTAATGCCGAGATAAATACCACCTGACGTGATGGCTGCTTTCATTAGTTTGTTTCAGCTCTAGTGCCTGTAATGAAATTTAATTAAATTGATTTGGGTACTTAAAGGTACAGTATATAGCAGTGTCCTGCAGAGAAGAAAGCTAACTCAAAAGCAAAGTGTGTGAGACTGCATTTCAGAAACCAATTTACCAGCCACAAACGTGATCTAGGAAAGAAAGAGTAAGACAAAAAGATCTGACAAATTGGAAAGAAATTCAATGCAATTCTGTTACAGAATGGATGCATTTGTTCACTGGCAGCAATTAATTAATAGGTGGCAACTGCACACTACAGGAGGGCACAGAACAACCAGACTACAGAAATACCATTATAAGTCCTTATCACCTCTTCCAAGGTATCTTCTACTGGGCATCTCTCTGTATTTTGACTATAATGAATATACGTATTCTCCCTCAATTATACTCCATAAGTCCAAATGCTAAAGCTTGTTTGGCAGTGACATGTTTCTGGTAGTACGTCATTGGGAAAGCAGCAAGGGTTAGATTTGGGGCAGGGGACGGATAACCACTGTAGAAAACAAAAGTGACATTGTAGTCTCACTGATCATCTTTTATTGGACTTAAGAAGTGCCCCTGCTCAACTTTATCCCCCTGCTCAACTTTCAGGTATTTTGAAAATAATGTTCTTCTGGCCCATGAAATAATTATTTTGTCATGGTGACTAAACTTACTGTCCTAACATGTGACTAAACACTTATTGCTGAGGTATCTTATGAAAATATAATTTGGGTTTTCCACATTATTCTTGTATTTAAAATATAGGGGAAAAGAAAAAGCAGTTTTCTATTGTGTTTGCAAGAATTTCAAATTTTCAGAAATTTGGTAGTGGAGTCTTTGACTTGAGGAGATGATCTGCAGAGATGGGTGGTATCAGAGACACAATTCTCTCACTTGTAGTACAGTAACATGATGAGGACTGAATGAAATTAAGCCCTGATGGGAAGTGACACCATGCTGACACAACGGGAAACCAGAGCTCCTGCCTGAAGGATTCACAGACGAGAGAGGAAAGAGAGGTGGCCAAGCAATGTGTGGTGGAGTTAGGAAGGAGCACCGACATTGCCAGCCTTGGTGCAGTGCCCAGCCTGGACAACCTTGCACCATCCACTCAGAAAGAAACTCCCCCATCAGCTCACGTGCTAACAGCCACACAGCAAAAAAAAGCACATGCCCAACCCTCTAACTGATTATGCGGATCAGCTGTTAAGAAGATACTAACTTAAAAAGCACTGAGTGGTTTAGAAAAACCGTACTCTAGCTGCATGCCCACAAACACCTTTCAATGCTGAAGGGCACAGTCTGCCCTGATGCGTGGCCATTGATGTCCTAACATTGTCAGGAAGAAAGAGAGGCAACTTCTTGGAAGCAGAGGAATCTCACCAGGGAGAAGAAATTAACTGCTGCAACAAATCCAATAAGGAAACAGCTAAAACTGAGAAACTCCAGAGAATGTTGTATCCTGCCTCCCCCAAGTTCACAAACTCTCCAGCATGCTACTTCTAGCTTCAGGCCCAAATCAAGTCTTGTGACTTGATTTAATAGACATTTTTCTGAATGACTTGAAGCACACAGGACCAGGCTTGTTTTGTCATCCTACTTCCTTTCTGTAAGCTGGCATTTTACTGGTTCCAGGAATTAATTGTAATAATAACTGCTCCTGTAACAGTAGTAAGCTGTAGAAATGGAACTTTCGATACGCAACCACTTGCAGAAATTGGTAACTAGACCCACCATGGTGTTAGAAGTAGGTGACAGCAAGAAGGCAAAGTGCCT